ATTATGTACGTAACTTGAAGTAGTGAATCGTAATCAATAAGATAGATGTGTATAAGAGACAGATATATATATTATTATATATATAATATTTTAATATTTCTTTTGTTGTGAACAATATATTCGTATTTTATCAAATAATCGATAATCCAAGTAAAAACTATTCACAACATCTTTCACTACAGTGAAGAGTGATAATGGTTTTATAAATATTTTATCACTCCACTTACATATACATACATATATATTACAGATAAAACTTTCTCATATTACTTACCGTTTGGTCATTAAATATGGCAGTTAATTGTGTAGCCAACATAATAAGAGTAAAAATTGCAAACAATAACGCTTCGAATGATAAGAAGAGTAACAAAAATATCGTTGCTGGAGGTGAATACGGGGAACATTGTCGCCATTCCGTATGCACACAATGCGCGAATTCAGTGACAACTAAGAACATAGCGTGTATGGATATAGCAGCAATGTAAAACTATGAAAACGTTAATCAACATTATTTACAAGCTTTATGTATTTGCATATGAAAACAAATACCTACCGTAAATAGTACAAAGTATTTTTGATTATTTTCACCGACGCAATTATTAACCCATGGACAGTGATGATCCATTTTACGAATACAACGCTGACATACTGAGCAGTGATGGGCGCGTTCCGGTTTAATGCTGCAACATTTCGGGCACTTGAAAAACATTTCACCTTCACGGTAACCCATTTGTTCGATCATCTCTTTTGTTGCATTTCCCCGTGGAACTGCACCGGGATCTGACAACATTGTACGAATATGCGAGGCGAAAGCGAGAAAGGCAAGTAATTGGAATATTATAATGTTTATTGTACTATACACCGGATATGGACTTGGAAGCAGTATCACACGCATTACGACGAATTCCGCGAAGAGTATTAGCAGCCATGTAAACACCGCGCAGACAATACCACATATATCCTTTATTACCAAAAATGTAGAAGAGTATTAGACATGAAAAATAATGAATTGGTGATAATTACCTTTACACACCAAGCACGCCCCCCGCAGCAACGATTATGCATATCCCTACTGCCTCCATGTAGTGTTATATACTGAGAATGCATTCCTTTGATCCTCGCAAATATTATATATATTCACTCTTTAATTAGTAAGTTGTATAGGTTAATATTTTACAAAAAATACAGTTTTTTAGTTATTATGAAAATCTTGGCTCGGCCATCATTTCAACAGCTGTCGGCATTGCTGCCACCTGTTTGCTTACAGCTGAGCAAAACAACGGTGATGCCTTACCAGCGAACTAATTAAAAACATTTATTATCTGCGTAATCATTGCAGTGTTCCCAATATCTGATTCACACCTAACTTTTGCTTTGTTTCAGAAAATTGCTTTGAGTTCGAGGTGTGTATTTATATACGCTTGTTCACAAACATGCGAAGCGAATCGAAAAGAATCGAAATGTTGGAAAACTCTCATCTCATTTACACTATGTTTGCTATGCTTCGTTGTTGCGGTATGAACTGTCAAGTGCTGAACATATAGAGAGCGACACGACATGGCAGCACGACAGTGAACTGTAAAGGGCGTCGTGAACCATATTACATGAAGTTTTGTAGGAAGACAGCACATATCAATGGCCGTCATGTACACAAAACAACACAGCTGTCTATTTTGCATGTAAGTAACTTCGTTGTGGGCATTCTAATACCTTTCGCTTCTATGAAATTTTAATATTTTGTTCAAGTGAAATTTTTTATGCAAAAAATAAATAAATAGGTAAATGTATTTGTTTTGAATTATTAATTTTTTACAAATGATATAACAGAGCTATTTTATGCTTTTATTTGTAAAATAWCGTCAGGTTTGTTAGAGCTTTGAATAATTTTACATTTTACATATTAATGGCATCACTCCTCTCTACTGTCAACTCTACTGCCGTCAGCATATTTGAGTATAATTTGAAGCTAGCGAGAACGACAACTGACGGCCTGCAGTGTAGTCGTGCAGTTGTCTAAATAACTGTCTCCTTAAGAACGTGTGTATTTTAATATATGACAGATGTCGCTTGAACTCTGTCGCGCTCAATGTATTCAGCACTTCAAACAAAGCGAGGAAAGTTGTATGCGAATGGGCCATAAAAGGGAACTCTATAAATTTTATCCAGCAACACTCGTTTTTAGTACTATTTGACGTGTCTTTTTTACTTCAAGTGAGAGTTGTTATTAACTTATACGTTAATAATTTTATAAGTTTTATTCTATTTTCTTTAGATATAAAACTATTTTGCCAAAATAAAAAGCAATTTAAACAGAGGAATTTCCATAATGGTTGATGAATGTACAAGGAAGACGCTTAGCAACATTCCATTACTGCAAACCCGTGCAGGACCACGGGACAAAGAGTTGTGGGTGCAAAGACTAAAGGAGGAATATCAAGCACTTATTAAATATGTTCAAAACAACAAGGAATCGGGAAGTGACTGGTTCCGATTAGAATCCAATAAGGAAGGCACACGTTGGTTTGGGAAATGTTGGTATATGCACAATCTACTCAAATATGAGTTTGATATCGAGTTCGATGTAAGAAAATAAAATTAAAAAAAAAAGAATTTCTTTAAAAATTCCCTACATACATGTTTAATATTTTAGGTACCGGTAACATATCCTACAACCGCGCCAGAAATAGCTCTTCCTGAACTGGATGGGAAAACTGCAAAAATGTATAGAGGTGGGAAAATTTGCTTAACTGATCACTTTAAACCACTGTGGGCGCGCAACGTACCAAAATTTGGAATTGCACATGCAATGGCTTTGGGTGTAAGTAAATAAAACCACAATCTGAGTTAAAATATTTATGTCCATAATTTTAGGTGATCCTAATTTTAAAAAATTTTCTTTGACTTTCAGTTAGCACCATGGTTAGCTGTTGAAATCCCTGATCTTATAGAAAAAGGCATAATAGCTTATAAGGACAAATGATAAATTATAGGAGAAAAAAAGTGGTACTATAATAGAAAGCCGAAAGTGTTGTCGTGCCTGAAAGAAACTGAAATAAATTTTAAATTAAACAATAAACTATAGTTTATCTGTTTTGGTATACACAATTCCACGTTAGATTTTCGGCAAAAATAATAAGTTAAAGTGGAAAAATGTATCGGTCACCATCACTTATCAAAGTGGTTAACATGTCGAATTTGGATCCAAGCACTTATATATCGTCACCTAAAATGCAAAATAACGTAACAACATTTTCGAAAATTTACAGTGGCGTGAATGAAACACGAAGTAAAATCGAACAAGAGTGAAAAAATTAATATTAGTGAAGACTGGTTCATATATGAGCGCAGAACCTGAAAATGTTGACATACATATGTTATATTAGGTTGTCAAAAAAGTCTTGCGGTATTTTTATTGAATTTTCAATTGTTCATAAAATTTTTTTTGATGACTCATGCCCAGCTCTTGACCGATGCTACGGCTGCTACTATGCCGGTCTCTTTCGACCAATTCAGCGCTTTTATCGCAATTTTCGACGACAGGCCTTCCGGAGCGTGGCGCATCTTCGACCACCTCTACACCAGAACGAAAACGTTGAAACCGTCGTTGTGCGGTGGAAATGGAAACTGTATCGGGTCCATAAACTGCCGTATTTTCTCTTTAGTTTTGCTCCATGTTTGCCATGCTATAACTCACGAACGACTTAAAAGAAACGACAAATCAATAGCGCATGAAATGACCTTTGAAAAAAGGTAAAGCATGACCCGATGCGACGAATAAAATTACAACTACGCGCTCTCAGCGCCAACTAGCGAAAATACCGCAAGACTTTTTTGACAGACTAATATTATGTACGTAACTTGAAGTAGTGAATCGTAATCAATAAGATACTCAATTTCGAATTTTTTGATGATACGTTATTTTGCATTTTAGGTGAATATGCATATTAAAAAATTGTTAGGAAAATTAAGCTAAAATTCGATAATTGACGACGGCTATATATGAAAACTGTTCGACCGTCTCTACTATCATTGTTGAAATAAATACACGATAGAGTTTGCAAGTAAATGAAAATTGTTTAATGTATGCTTGAAATGATGTATGTATGTATGTATTTGGTTTGTATTCATGTACTTCTTTACGAATTTCATTCTGTGCGTTGACTGCACTTGAGTCCATATATATAGTTTTTAAATTAAATTATTCATTGTGTTTATTCTAAAGAATTAAAGTTGTGGATATTGTGAGGAAACATATTGAAGATTGCTATCCTGGGCGTTTTGAGCAACACTCTTGATTACGTATATAAATATTTATAGTTTTATAATTTCACTTCATATATATTTTTCTTTCTATACTTTTTTGTAAGTAAAAGTACAATTTCCAAAATAAATTATGAATTTTCTTCTTTCGCGATATTAAAATTAAATAACAAAGTCAAGTGAGTGGTGAATGTAAATAAAATAAAAAAGTAAAGTAAAAATTTTTAAAGTACAGTTTTCGTATGGCTTCAAATTGATTTCACTCCTTTCATTTTAACACCATTTATGACTTCTTACAAACATGTAGGAAATGGAAAATAAGACAAATTTTAATAATAACGTTCAGTTATGCAATTTCGAGTTTCACGTGATGAAATTTCAAATTTTGATCGCTTCACTTTATTTCTGCAGCTCTCTCTATCTCTCATTACTATTTTAAATTTATAGATCATATGTTGATACAAACGGCCAAATATCTGAGAAATGGAAGGGTGAGCTTATGGCAACAAGTTTCAAAATATAAATCTAACCAACTATAAAATCTGCGGTTATTTCATTTGTCTTCAATCTTCAAAACTTCCACGAATAATGTACGCGTTAAAAGTTTTGCGGTCAATGTAGCTATGTTTAGGTAGTTCGTAATATTTTGAGGAAAAAGAAGACAATCTTACAAAGCTCATTAAAAATTGCATCGGTTATCAAAAACTTGCTCAACCTAACACTTTCAAACATTAAGGCCGGTCACACATACAGCTCGCTTTACATCATGTTGCCATTGTTCGTATTGCTGTTATTACTATTGTCCCGCTTCTGCCAGCTGTCCGACCAAATAGAACTCAGCGAACTAAATGGATCGAATGTCTGCATATCGGCTGTGATGGTAGCACCTGTATCAGTTGACGAAACATTTAATGATTGTTGTTGTGGTTGCGTCACTGCTTGAGTATTGTTTATACCCTGAAAGTTGCTTTCCAGGCCTGGCGGCGGACGTATAATAGTGGGGCCACCACTGCCGTTAACAACACTGCTAGTTGATGAGAGAGCTGCGCCAGTTGGCCAAGATGTTGTTCCGGCATTACTACCACCAACTACGGGAGCACTTAAACCACTAATAGCACAGGGAGATGTAACTGTCGTAGGCAGAGCAGCGCTATTTAGACTATGAGTGTCATGCTGTCCTAAATATGCCATCGGTGACCAAGTGCGCGAGTTGAGTCTTGCCCAATCGACCCCTTGCATCAATTGCTGCTGTTGTTGATGTTGCTGCTGCGCTTGAACATGTGCCTGCACTTGAGCTTGTAACTGCTGCTGTCGTAAATTGTAAATATATTCGTAATATTCGTTTCGTGCCTTTTTTATTTCATAGAGTTCTGCGTCCATTCCTGAAATAAGCAAAATAATATTACCAATTCAACTTTTGATCAATCATGTATGGATACTTACCTCTAAGCTGGCTGTTTCCATCATATTCGTAAGTGGTTAAAAGATCGGAAAAAAAACTGCAGTCCCCAGTAGAGACAATCGGCTTTGGAATTTGAAGACCATTGCCACTATGGTTGCTGCTTCCGCTGCTGCTACTGCTACTGTTAACTGGCTCCCAGACAGGAGTAGAGGAAGGCGATTTTTTCGAGCCAATCGGACCGAGTTCGGTAGAATTCGTCAGAGCCGCCTTATCCAAAGCAGAATCTCCTGAGGTTTGTCCAAAAGACTGCGTTTGTTGTTGCATCTCTTTGCTGGTAAAATCTGATTCATGTTCCACCATTCCCTTCTCTTTATCCACAAAAAAGAAAGCTGATTTGCTATCACTAATATCCAAATTACATTTATCGTTTGCTTTAGATGCATTTTTACTCAGCACACTGATGGGCTGTGCTTGCAATACGTCACTGAAAGTAGCCTGACTACAAGTATCCCAGGGAGAACTTAAACATCCCATTAAACCACCCATTCCACCGGCTGCACCTCCCCCACCGAGACCACCATTGTCATTCCCATTCGTAGGCCTAGTGCGTGTTGTCGCAACAGCAGTTATTGATGCATCGCCGAAATTAAGTGTTCGCAATGCGTTTGCGGCACGTTGACGACTTCTACGTTCAGCGCGTCGAGATGCATTCGCCGACGATGAAGGACAATTTTGAACAGCAACATCATTTCCAATATTAGTTGAGCTTACGTTTTGAACGTCTTTGCGACGTTCTCGACCTGGTGTCTTCCCATACTTCGCACCGGTTGCAGAACTTTGCGCGCCCACATCTTTAATGGACGGAGAGGGTATTGAAATTGGTACGGTACTAGATGAAATATCAGGCCCGTTGCTCTTCACATTTATATGATTCATCGCTTCGCTGACGTTAGACTTGTTGGTATTACTGCGTGTATTTTTTGTGCTACCAGGGTTGTTACCTTGTGCCTTTTGATTAACAGCACCGACGATTAGCGGCTCTTTATCAGTTTTTTCGCCTATTTGCACTGAAACAGTAACCGTATTTTTTGACTTCCGCGCCCCGCGTGGCTGCTGCTGTTTAGGCGGGGAAGTTTGCACCTGCGGTTGTGTTGTTGACACTTGTGTTTGCTGTTTCTTGCCAGCGGTGTTGATGTTGTTCGTACTACCTCCACTGTTGCTTCTATCTAATTTATCACTGTGCGTATTTGATTTGGGTTGCGTTAGTGCTGATGAACTTTTCTTACCACTATTTTCACTACCAGACGTCGGGTAACGCCCATTTATGCCACTGCTGGAGTTAGTTTTATCGCTGTCACTTGTGGGTTTCGTCTGTGGAACACCACTCTTGAAAACATTCAAGTCCAGTGACCAGGGTAAACTTACACGGGACGACGTCGCGTTACCGCTCAAGTGGTTTTGTCGCTTTAAACTACGTTTCTTTACACCATTATTTCCGTTGCCACTGCTACCACTACTGCCACTGCTGCTACTGCTGCTGCTCGTACTACCTTTCGGTTGTTGTGGAGGAATAACACCACATCGCGTTTGCTGTACATTCGCTGCTGATCTACTGACAGTTTGCGGTTCATCTTCGGTCGCATGTGTGGCTGCTTGCGCCTTCAGCGCAATATTGCGCAAATTAAATGTCGGGTGCACGGAACCCTTGTCGCGCGCTTCATACAGAGCCGCCTGACTATGCAATATATTGTCATAGTCAATATGAGCGGCAATCAAAACAAAAACAAATGTAGTAGCCAAAACCACGATCGCCGCACTACGTATGCGCTCTTCCCATGGGGGGCGTTCTATCAAGACGGAACATTGATCGATTGTGCCTGGTGGCAGTTGGGCGACTATTGTATACTCCACATCGTAAGAGAGATTGGTATGTATCTTCAATGGTACCGTAATGCGATTCATCGTAAAATCGGGCGTAAATATAATCTCAATCTTTTTCGTCTCATTCGCCTTCAGTGCAAAACTTTTGCAATCCACTATTTTGAAACCATAACCAGAGCACATTTGATCACCAATTTGAAATGTCTCTATCCAAATTGGAATTTCGCCAGTGTTTCTCGCAGTGAACTTCCGTTTCAATAATGGATACTTGATGTCCCTAATACCATTGTGGCTGCTAAGCGTGTGTTGGTGCGTGGAAGATGGATTACAAATCGAGAAATGTTTTTCAGTAAAATTAAATGTTAGCGATACATTTGAACCGGGTTTACGGTTTCCCAGACGGAAATCAGACTCTACTACTTTCGCGCTAACCCAAACTGCTTCGTAGAGTGTGAGATTATTTCTTATGTGTAATAATGTACAATAATTATCTGCCACAGGTGCTTTTAAACGAACTGTTACTGGTAAGCTAGTGTGTGGGTGGAGAAGTACCGGTTGACGTGGCGCACCTCTTGGCAAAGAAAATACTTCTTTATCGGTTAAGTAGCAATGTGGCACGATATCCACTACTTCGAGTGGCAGTGACAGCTGCGTCTCTTTCGCATATGATGGATCAGCGAGGAAGTAATCTATTAATACCGGCGTGTCTGCCGGATTACTAAGTAACACCTGTACTTCGTGAGATTTACCCACTTCTATAGTCGGTAGTACTGGTTTCTCAGTGACGAACTTCGGCCACTCAATGTCAATAATCAACTGTAATAGGAATCGCCGCAACTCATGGCTATTCAGTGTAAAACCAATGTTTTGAAAGTCGTACTTTAGATGGCGAAACAACTCGGTTCGTCGACGTAACTCCGTTTCGTCAAAATGTAAATTGTTGTTAAGCCCACCCCGCGTGTTTGATGGTGCCGGGAAGGCAAGACTGTTAGTTCGTCCATCTTGCTGTATATAACATCGATTTTGGCAAAACAATGATGGATTGACGTGTATCCGACCCACCTTAGTCAGAGTATTGCCTTCGATCGTCGACCCGTTGACGAAGTAATCCTCGAAATGTAACCCGGCATCAGTGAAATTTATAGAAGTAATGTGTATAGAGTGCTGAAATGTGGAGCGGATTGCTAGTTCTGCTGAACATTGTTTTCCCTGAAAGAGGCAAAAATAGATAAATTGTAAAATTTTGTTTTTTTATAGCTTAAACATTTACAGGGAGCTATATCAGAAATCTTTTATTAATTTACCGGAAAGCAGTTTTTGAAATAAAGTTGCTCTTGATCCACCTCCAATTTGCCGATCCATGTACGAAAACGTACCGTTGTGGTGATCTCCTCATAAGCAGTCCATATTTTTAGGGTGCATTGATGTTGTTCGGTTATGTACGATTGAATCGTTACTTGAAAAACAGCAACATCATCTTCCTCCAATTGAGTGCATAACTTGAATTTTGCACTCTCCAACTTAAGTGTTGCATTATGTAACGCTCGTAATGAAGACGGTCGTAAACATCCTCGGAAAGCGGTATGAAAGCAGACACCTTGAGGCGATTGAAAGTTCCAAGTGGTCAGCTTGACAGGTAATGGATTGCGATTGCGCAACACAATGTAACCGTCATGTGATGTCTCTGCCAGCGGAATTGCTCCTAAATTGAGATCAACATTATATGGCCCATCAGCTTGTATGCGCGCTGTATCATAAGTGGAGACATGCAAACGGCCACCACAAACTACCAGTGGCACTTTAATATGTGTAATATTAGTAGATACATGTAAACTAGCTTTATATGTCATGCTTGAATTAATCATCTGAAGTTGGAGCAGTGCTAAAGATCCACCCGATGGCAGTACCAAGGAGCCTGATGCACCGTCAGCTATCGCATCAAGGTAGTCGCTACTAAACTGTGCACGTAACGCTTGACTGCCTATATCTTCCTGTGGTAGGCTTACATTAAGCAATGCCAGAGGAGTTTCGTAGTCATTACGTAGCACTAAGGTGCGCTTATTGCCGCCCCGCGTACCAAGTGTAGCTTGTGTTATAAATGTGGTAGAATTACTATCATAGTGTAGCGAACCCTTGAATAGTTCTGCTCGAATTAGTATCGTAAATTCTTGCGTTGACTGAGTGACGCTGTCCTGAAGTGGCTCTCGTGGTACACTCTTTATAATCATCAGCTCATCCAATATTGTTGTGCTATCAAATGCATCTGCTTCTAGAATGACTACTCCATCTTTCGCATCGAATGTCAACCCAGATATATTACGAAGCGTAAAGTCGAGTATCTCGTACTGTTGACGCATATGCGAACTGTGTAAATGTAACTTAAACTGAATCGGTTTTACGCTGCTGTCTCGGACTAGATCCTCGCCATCTTTTGTTGAAAACCGACCGAAGTTGATAACGGGATTATCTGCATATAATCCGTGTAATGGTAAAATTTCAAACTCGACCGGTATTACCAACACATTTCCCCCTGTGCCCACTGTATCACCAATGCCTTCTTCAACCTGATTTGATATTTTTATACGTATATAAGCCGTATGATTACCAACGGTTCGAGCATGGAAACGTATTCGAATAACAGATTTCGTTTCATATGGCGGTATCTCCCATAAAGTTTGTGGTCCTTCTTGCCCACCACTCGGCAGTTCTAATTGGAACAAACCTCCACTGCTATAAACCTGAAAGACGATGTTAATTACTTATAGAAATACAAAGCAATTAAAATATTCTTCCATACCTCTAGTATTTGAAGTGGTTTACTATGTGGATTATACATTTGTATTTCAGGTGTAAGTGTCGCATTAAGGGGAGCCTTAATCCCCACCAAAGGCTTAAGTCTATACGGGCAATCTCGACCCTTGCCACGAACTTGCAATCGTGCTTGTCCGAATGATGTGTGAATTAGGAGATCAGTGGCAACAATACCGTGCATACGAGGTAAAAATACCACATTAAATGTGGTATTACCTTGCGGAGGTACAACTTTTGCCTCGAAAAAACTCGAATAGAACATAGGTGTACGCCCAGACACTGATGTCAAGTAAACGCTTCGATTGACATTTTGATTCAAGAGTGTAACTGTGTATGCTCGGGCAGTACCTACAGGACACGCTTCACCAAAGTCAACCAAAGGAGGTTCGAAGCGCAGACTTTGTTGAAGCTCATCACTAGTTGCGTCTGTGACAGGCGTTAAAGTCTCCAAGACAGAAGGTAGCTCAGCTGAGGAATTTAACGGTTTTTTTTCACTGCTACCTATATCGCCGGCTACGCGACTTAAGAGTAACATGAGCACCCATGCGAGTGACGAAGGTCGTGACATCTTGACGTAATAATAATAAATTTGTTTTTCGTCTGAAGATACACGTTTCTTTCAGCCGGTAGTGGCTTTTTGGGTGTGCTTAATGGCCGACGTTTGTCCTTCTTCTTCCTTTTTCCTTATTGCTTTCTTCCTTTTAAAGACCAATCAGATTCCGATCAAAACTCTTTTATTCGTATTTATATTGGTTTTATTTTCCCAATTACTTTTATGTTTTATATAAATGTTTTTGGCATATCTCTGCACATTCTATTTTTTATCTTAAAAATATTTATCGCCTGAAAACACTACACTATCAGCCTGTCGTCTGTAAAAGTGCAAAAAATAATAATCAGACTGTCAAGCGTATGTCATGAGGAGGCAATTGCCTAAAAAATACGAAGCACATGACGTAAGATAATCGTGATAGGTAAAAACAAGAAAGGCTTTGTGTATAGGTATTTTTCTTTTTGTTCTGCAACACTGGACGAGAATATTTAAAGGCCTATTCAGATACAACTTTCTGCTCTTTATGGTGCGTTGTAGACAATTCATACTGAAACAACGAAGCGCAGAAAACAATGGTTTGCTAAAATTAACGGTTACTTTTCAGTGTTTCTCTGTAATAAAAATAGGGACCGTTTTTTAACAAAGTGTAAAAAGATTAGGGATGTTTAACATTTTGCTTCGCTTCGCGTCAAAAACTTTTTATGTGAACGTACTAAACAATAGCGTACATCAAACTTTTTTTTTGTCAAAATACAAGTCTAACGCAAAGCGAACGAAAAGTTCTGTGTGAATTCGCTATAAGATATCTCTGCGAACCTTAAATTTAAATATATGTTTTAATATTCATAAACTTAGATAAAGTCAAATTATTAGTAAACGCAGTCATAAAACTGGAAACATTTAGACTCATATACTTTTTAAAATTAAATGTAACATAAAATGTAAGAAAATTGTTTGAGAGAAATATTAAAATTTTATATAAAATATGTTAAATTTATTTCCTTAAGAAACGTTTATTAAATTAACAAAAAAATGCTATATTTATTTATACATGACTCAATTTAAATCGAAACTAATGCAATTTTATATGCTTGTTTTTATGGGATGATACACATATGTATATACATAGGTTCCACATGTATGTAGATTGTTATTTATTACCATATCGAAAACTAAATTGTAGAAAAAATCCAATCTTACAACATTCGTATAGTTTTTCAACATGTTTAACTTGAGACTATCGGTTCAAATTTATACGATTTTTTCACGTTTTAACATTTATAAAGCTTCTTTTTTTAATTTGAACTACTTTTGCAGAATTTCATTCATATGTACAAAAGTAAATGTCAATAAAAAATATGATTTTTATTTTATTGTTGTAAATTTATTTATATCATTTAACTTGTCAAACTAAAATTAAATACTACTGGTACAAATAGTTTTTCTAAAAGTATAGTAGATTTTATAATAATATATATTCCAAAATAGTTTAGTCAGATTTTACGTGCTCTGATTTAACTTCTTTAGTTTGCTCTGCGTCCTTTTCTTGTTGATTTCGCTTCACTTTCTGCAGAAGCTGTGCTCTTTTTAGCGTAACCATAATTTGCAACGAGTTGTACATCCAAGCACCCTTAAATATTAGGAATCAATTAAATTTTCATAATTTGTAGAGTATCTAATCGTTTGTTACTATACTTACAATTATTAACATACAATTCAGTAATATCGGTATTGAAAATACTGTCGAAATGAAAAGCCCATTACTATCAAAATATTGCTGCTTAGAAAAACTCTTCCATTTAGCTGCCGCAAATTCGTTAATGCCTTCCGAACAGTATGCTGCTGATACTAAAGTAGAAAATATTGTTTAATCTTGAAGCAATAAATAAAGATAATCGGAATTTTTATCCGGACAAGGACTGCCAATTCGGCACCATTCTTTGAAATTAGTGTAGGCATAATAATTGGAATATATAACTCACATAGTATTAGAAACAGAAATATTTGGAAATTAGTGTTGTTCCTTGTCATCAAAGTAGTCACCGTTGTAAGAACATGCACCGCTACAAGCGCAATCAGCCACGGATCGTTCCAGTCAATCTGTATATTCATGTAGCTTATTAATGTGTTTACTACAGATTTTTCTTTTTGCACTTACACTTGCCAAAAATGACCAATATCCGGCGATTTCATTAACTTCAATGAAATTAGGGTCCACCATTCTTAATCTTTGTGCAAATAACAAACAGTTTCAAAACCAAATTTTATCTTTGCCCACGACAGGTTTATCAAATGTAAATAAAGAAGAAATAAACGAAAATGACTATAGAAGAGAACGTCAAAACAACATTTAACAATATTAAGCAGAGAACGTATATAAACGTACCTTCGCTGTATTAAGTTACGTGACGTCATAAACGACAAAATTGCTTGACAACCACTAAGAAAGTTTTTCAATTTAATATTTCAAATAAATCTTAATTGCAAAAGGTAATAATTTTACTATTCTCAATGTTTCTGTAAACATACATACAAGTCTAATAGATATTACATTAATTACCATAGAGCTCTAACAGAGCTCTTTTTTTAACTTCTATGAGTTTCTTAAAACCGACTCCATAAACTATCCAAAGTACATATGATTGATCATTCAATACGTGTTTTTATTTGGCATTCCTTGCTTGAGGTTAGATTGGAAAATTATTTTTAAATAAGATTAAACAATATTTATTAAAAAAATATATCACAGCAATTTTGACTACCTAACTCCAATAGAATGAGGACATACACAACGTGGAACTCACAGGCTCTTTGTGTAATAAATTAGATGAACGATCAAATGCAGACACAAACTTAACAGAAAGCCTTAGTAGCGTTCGTTGGTGTATTACTTTTATATATATATTTTTTTTTTTTTTCAAGATAAAATGTTTATAATTACCCAAATATGTACTTTATTACGTACTGTTATAGTAAAATAAAAATTCACTGAAATAAATCAGAGTTAATTTGTTTAAGGAATTCTCTGAAAATGAAAGAAATTTACTATAGAAGTTTACTTAATTCTAAATTTTCAAAGCTGGCAGTTCTCTATGGCAAATTTGTTTCGCTTGACATAAATGTCTTCGTTTTGATGTGCAATCCATTTTCGCCGCGAAAAGGCAAGAGTAGTGTGAAAATTTTTGCGAGTTTGCTGGTGTAAATTAATAAAAAGAAAAACAATTTGACATAGATTTTATAGATTCCAAACAGGAAATTATCATAAATTTAATTTAAAAACAATTTGTATATAGTAGCAGTAGCAGTAAAAGTTTTACAAACCGTCTTATATCTTGCGAGAGGAAAAATTTTCAATTGGCCGAAAACAGCTTAAAACAAAGTGAATTTCGTTATATATTAAAACTGCATAATAATAACGGGATTGGTGATTGATCATTATAAGAGAAGTCGCGTCATTAAATCGCAAATTGAAAAAAAAGTTGTATGTAAACACCAAGGAACTCACAAATATTTTGTATCTGCTTTTATCTGAATAAGGTCGTCGCCCGACCGTGAGTGGCCACTGGCCTCTAAATTGCTGTCATATAGATTGTGTGTGTGCATTTTGAAACGCCTTGTTTGGTTTGAAGCAGACGTATTGCAGTAGGTGTTGTTCTCGATAACGGAATCGAGCGATCAGCAGACGCCAGCTAACGCCAGAAATTCGTTCCCGGGGAGCGGCCGACGTAGAAGACGCGTGCCCGTGTCACCGAAAATGGCTGTGAAGCAAAATAACACGGAAGCGAACGCTGCGCCCGCACCCGTTAATGGGAACGCCGTAGGAGGAGTTAATACGACCGGCGGGTCTATGGCTGGTGTAACAGGCGGTGTCGGAGTTGGTGGTAACAATGGACTTACTGGAATGGGCGTTGGAGTTGGTGGTGGTACAAAAACCAAAAAGCTTAACGGTAAAGCGAATTTAGGTGCAGAGATAAGTGGTAATACTGATGCAAATGAACCTGGTTGTAGCGGAGTTGATAACAGTGCTCCAAATAAACCCAAGCTAAATATGAAAGCGGCCCCTGGATCAAGCGGAAATATTGGCGGTGGAGGTGAAGCAGGAAACATTGGTGGTCAATCGAGTAAAAACACCACTGATATTACACATATTTTACATCTCATCGAATTGGTGGAATTGAATCAGCAGCATATATCATTTGGATCGGATATAGTAAAAATATATCATCACATAATCAATGAATTAGCACGTGTGCAGACTCCAAGACAAATTCCCAAAGAACTTAAACGTTTTAAAGAAGATATAGTCAAAGTTGGCGCTTTCTTCAGCAAAGCCAATGAGAAACGCGTCTATCTGTTCTATCTTCGAGTTGTCTGTCAGCTTATAACACAAGGTGAGGGTGAACCACCTTCTTGTGCTATCGCCATAATATTCCAGTTGTTTAGCTCCGAAATGGTTTTCGAAGCTGTACAGTCAATGTTGGACCACAAAATACCTGAACAGAATATAAGAAAGACTGTTAAACTACTAAGCGAATGGTTACGCATGTGTAATTTTTGCCAAAATCTTAATCTGTGGATATTAGCCATACTGAGAGGACTCCAGGAACAGCAAAAGTTTTCGCTATTTCGTGATATTGCGTTGGATAACATAGAACCATTGTTTACATCACTTATATTGCCAGTGTTGCGACCAAAAGTATACCCCATCGTATGTCATATGTTGTCTTTCATTGACCAAACACCGGTTGTGTTTCACAAGGTAAAGTTCAAGATGTGCGTTTGCAGACGATGTTTAAAGTTTTGATTGTTTGCAGATTTTGCCAAAGTTCCCACGTGTTATAACGTATTTGAAGCAACAATCAAATAGTCAGGAAGAATACGCTGAAGAAACCAAAAAAATTCTTCAAAAATTAGTTGATTTAACTAAGTCTTTAATGGTGCGTTTCTACGGCTATGACGATTTGTACGAGGCGGTGGTGAGTAAAATTTATGACTATTAAAATAGTGGGTTTGAATGCTATAACTGTTATTTTATTTGGAAGGAGCTCGTTATGAAGGATATTCCACATTCTTATGATTTGCCAAACTATGGGAGTAGCACTAAAAATGGTGATGATAACAGCACCGAAATAATACCACATGAAAGTAATGCAAAAGTCGGTCTAGTTAATTTAGGCAACACATGTTACATGAATAGCGTTTTACAAGCGTTAGCTATGACTAAGGAGTATGTACATTTCTCAAATTATTATTCTATATCGCATATATTTTTGTCTGCCTAATACAGGTTTAGTCGGGAAATATTGTTGTCACAAAGCAAGTCACCTCTGTTAATGAAAATGCAACAACAAATTGCATTGATGCTCTATTCAACTCGATTTGAATTGACACCATCGCGCGTCTTAAGTGCAACACGACCACCTGGCTTCTCACCTGGCTTGCAACAGGATAGCTCTGAATATTTGGGCTATTTGTTGGAAACGCTACATGAACAAGAAACGCTGTTCCGTAAAAAGCAAGGAAGTGATATGGCGAATGCAAAAAAAGTAATTGATGATAAAAAAGTAGTAATAGCAGATGGAGAGGCAGCCGAACCAATTGCTAAAAGTGCAAAGCAAGCCGAACAAGAAAGTGGCAGTACCAACAGTGGAGAAGGTGCCACCGCATACTTTAACACAGCACAGGCACAGCATTCATATACAAGGGACAGTGTTACCACCGACACTATTAACAAAAGCAACGACAGCAGCCACACGGATGTAGATGAAAAGATCGTCGTGCAAACCAATGCCAGTAGCAGCTCTGATCCTTGTAAAGATAAAGCTGTTGCAACAACCACAATTGATAAAACCTTTACAGGGAAATTGGCAACTACTTATGAATGCCTAACTTGTGGCTGGAAGAGTCGAATAGTTGATAGTTTTCGTGACTTACAGCTGTCATTTCCAGAAGTGAAAAATGATTGCGCCTCCAATTACTCCGTACAGGATCTCATCGACTATTATTGTTCACCAGAGAAACTATACGGGGACAATCAATACTTTTGCGAGCGGTGTAAGAAACTTAGCGATGCTGAACGTTACATCAATGTTATCGGTGCACCAAAAAATCTAATATTGACATTGAAGCACTTTAAGTATGATCAAAAGTATCATACACGCGCCAAATTGATGCACAAAGTGTTTCATGATGAGAAGGTGCGCGTTCAGTTTAAATTCATAAAATTTCAAAGTAATTCCTTTAATTGCTTATTATTGTCACATTTTAGGTATCTGTAAAGGTTTGTGCTGAGGAAACGTTGGAAGAGATCGCCTCCGTGCATTACGATCTCTATGCTGGTGTCGTCCATTCCGGTTTTAGTATGGACTCAGGGCATTATTACACTTACGCTGCTGATATCACTAATAAGTGGTACAAATTCAATGACAACGTCGTCACACAGTCTAAGTCAGAAGAGCTGCACAATCTTACACCACCCAATACACCATATATACTATTCTATCAAATGGGAGCACGCTCTAATGAAGTATGCTCATGCGAAGGATCCACAACAAAAGTGGTGAAAGTGGATGTGCCAAATTTATTGTCGTTGGATGAGCTTTCTGGCGATTTGCGAAATTATATTAATCACGATAATTACATTTTCGCCGAAGAGATTAAAGAACGCATTATAAAGAGTGGCGGTCGAGCAGCGTTGCAGAGTGCATTGGCGGCAAAACGTAGCGGTAATGGTCGAGGAGGAGGCGGTGGTCGTAGCGACTACGACGATGATAACGATTCGGATCAACCGCCACCGGCTAGTGGCTGTGGTGGCAATGCACTCGATATTAATGTTAATCGTTTTGTGTACTAAACACCAAGTGTGCCGTGGCACGAAATTATATGATTTTGTTTTTGTTATAATTTGTGAAAAATTATGTCGTACAATCTATGAACATAATGAAGTTATGGTACGAATGAAATGCAAGAGAACACAAACGACGCTGTGTAGCTATGACACATTTTATGTATGCCTGCATTCGACAAATAGTGGGAAATGACACTACCTTGGATCAACCGCCTACTAACCACACTTATATATACATATATAATATAGATATGTATGTATATATGTTTATAAATACTGCATTCATATAATTTCATCAGAATAACGTGTAATTTTGTAGTGTGTTCGTGTGTAATGTAACACAGCGAGCGAAAGTAGCATAAAATGTGTAAAATTTGGGCAACATTAACGTTAAAACTTATAATTAGGTAAAATGCGAATATATTCCGCAGATGCACAGCATCACATTGGAAGTTACAAAAGGAAAAAATGGTCGATTTATTTCAATGCTAAAAATTTGTACTTGTTATTTGTAAACTTCAACTATGTAAACTATTTCTATAGCCACTATCAGCAAATAGCAGCAACAACAAAATATAATTATTACAGCTACTATCTCTTCATACGCCTGCTAAGTGTATGCGAGTAAATAAGAAATGCTTCGATAATTTTCGACCACACTGTGTATGAGAGCAAAGGCGTATTTCTTCAATTAGAATTGTGTGTGTATGTGTGCTTTTAACCGTTATTTGAATAATTAAATGAGTGCGTGCGTGCTTTGAAAAAATATGTACATATGTATATGTAGTGTATCCGTTGCATTTCCCTTGTGATTCAGTATATTTTCTTAAGCACTTATTTTTATAATCGATTGAAAAAACTCGGTGTCATATGATGAAATTTCGAAATTTTTCAGGAAGAATGGAAAACGACGAATTACCGATATGAAAGTTCTAAAGCAAGCGCTGTTACTTTCTTCGCGTGATAAACTAAAACTTCTGTCTAATTCCTCTATAATGCATATGTACTATATGTGTGTATGAATTATGTAAAATTAAAAAAAAAAAAAACCATGTAATTGTTAATTGCAAGTGGTAATTGAAAATTGTAAAATAAAAGTCAACTGCATGTTACAACGTAAAGGCGACGGCTCCAGCTACTGATTTGCTCTAAGGCGTATTCAAATCTAAAGAGCTTGCCCAACTTCGTAAGCTAGCGACTAACTTTAAACTATTTATATTCTGATCTACAGATTGTGTTTTAAATTTGCGCACTTAAATATACAAAATATATTCATTGGATTTTCTTTTGTTATTTTTTACTTTGCTCCAAGCAGTTTTATTATTTTATTAGCATATACAATTGTTAGTGTAGTAGCGTAGAATTTTTATGCGCCTAAACCCGAAAGTTAGTAATATTAAAGCGATTATATCTGTCCTCATACATATGAAAATCATAATGAAATTTTTATGTAATGAAACAGTACATGTGCATACATACTTGCATACCTTTATATATGAATAGAGTACGTATTATAAAACATGAATAATAAGAGAAGCGATATGAAAACATGAGTTCGTAACATGGAGTATTATTTGTCCTACTAGAGAGGAGAGTTCTCATGTCCACGCAAATACTATATTTATTGGTTACTTATAGTAAGCACGTAAAATTATACAATTTAAGTTTAATTTCGCAGCAGACAGCGTTTTTTTTTTTGTTAACTATAATAAAGAAAAGTATTAACTTACACCACAATATTTTATTAAGGCAATTTATTTTTTAAAGCTATGACGTATCCTTTAAAATACATGATAATATTTAAATATGTAATCATCATGTTATTTAACAATATTAGAGATATATAGAGAGAGTCAGTCAGTGTAAGAAGTGCGAACTGCTGGTCCACGAAGAACACATACATACACACGTTTAGTATGAATAAATAGCACTCATACAATTGCATTGTAGGTTGAGTTGGGTCGTAGGGATTTGAACATAATCAAATGTTCGTGATTTGTGTTATCCACTGCTAAAGGTGGATCAGCAGATCTTCATAGATCGATGCAACTTTTTGAGCTTCCACGTTTAATGTCACATCTAGCCATTTCGCTCGCCGAAGGTATGCCTACCTAGACATTTAAATGTCAATCCTGCAAAAGTGACCAGATTATTTAAACTTCTCTTCCTCCATACAGCTTTGGCAAAGAGCGTCTTACAAAATATTTAGTCGCTCCTCGTGCGAACCTATTTGACCGTGTACAATCAGAACATGTTGTTGTTGTTGTTTTAACGGTTATCTAATCCCCGTTAGGGTGGTAAGGGCCATTTGTGTTATCGTCGAGGTCGGACCAAAGGGAATAGGGTATTAGATGAGTAGGGTTTGTGGGGCATGCATAGAGGGGGCCAGTATCATGCGTTGCATGCATCCAATCAGAACATCGACAATTGCGGCTAGATTGACCTTGCTAAAAGTAAGTAATTCGGCGGACCCTTACTGTTCACTTTTTGCTAGAAGAATATCGCAATTGCAAAAGGTTGGTTCATAAGTTTAGCGGCTTTACGATTTTCGGCAATTGCGCTGTGATCCATACAAGTCTTATACATATGTAAGAAGCGCTTGTTGGTTTGTGAGCTCGGCTAGCGGAGTTTCAATTCCTCAGACAGTGACCCAATCAGGACACTGCCCGGTTTTCAAGATCGGTTTCGACATGTACATAAGCTCCCAATTCCCGGCAAGCGGAGTAGATAATAAACAAAATCGCTTTCAATTTTGCCGGCGAGCGTTTTCAGAATTTGGTTGCGGCTTTGAAGTTTGGTCCTAACCGTGGCTGAACGATTACTGAGGGAGTGCACACGTAAGGAGAAACAAATAGTTTTTCAGATATTTTACTTTTAAGGATCGGGTTCGGTTCTTTGCAATAAAGCGGCATGAAGAGTCGATTTTATTTTTGAATATGTACCAGCAATTATAATCTGCTATGTTCTTAAATGTGTGACCAGTGTGTAAGGTTTTTGCTTACTTTTTTGAAGTTGAAGAAGTTTCGATATACAAAAAATAATTTAATTTGAAAACATGCAGAATGAATGAAACTGGAGAACATATTAAAATATGTACGTACATATTAACAATTATTCGAAATTTCGATTTATACCGATGAAATAATGTCTCTAGAGGAAAAATGGCAAAAAGTGTTCGACCAAAATTTTACATATTTGTTCATTTATTTATTATCATTCTTAATTGGCGTAGACGCTGCTTACGTGATTATCATTTATTTATTATTATAAATATAAAACATAAACTGTAGCTTGATTAAAAATACGAAACGACTTTTTCGACTACCCAATGTAAAATTTTCTGAATTAATTTACCACAATTAACCCACTGTACAGCTGCTTCAAAGCTATAACAAAAATGTCAAAAACAGCTGAGCGTGTGTCAAAAGCTCCAACTTTCCAGATCAGACCCAATTTGCTCTTATTGGGGATATCATTATGTGAAACAAATGGTTAATTATCGATGTCTGCGCCCAACAAAGGAAATAAATATGTGTACATCAAAACAGAAGTATTGGCTGTGTTAGTGAGCCCCTTTTGGAGCGAAAAATAAAATGCGAGCGCTGAAACTAACAAATCAGGCGAAGCTCTTAAACACGTACGTATATTAAGCGCTATGTGCAACGGAAAAGCTAGACGGGACACATCAATCCAGAATTGCGAAAAAAGTACAGAGCGGACCGACAATTCAGTCAGTTAGAACTCAGCAGAGCAGTGCAACAGTACGGTGAACATCTCGGCAAGAGTAGAACAATTTCTAAAAAAAAATATCTAAAGGAAATTACTACACTTAAATTTTAAACGTGCTTACTTTTTTTTACATTTTTGCAAACAAATCTGCGTGATAAACCGATTTTTAACATATAGTACATTTCATTAAATAATGAAAGTGAATAAGCATCATAAGTGAAGTTTTGACATACACACCCTCCATTTATGTAGGGGTGCTTTGGAATAGAAAGGATACTGGCCTATCGAAGGTGAAGAGGCAGAAACGCAACGTCATCACCCTTTTGACACCGAATACGACATTTTCGGCTGCATTGTGTTTATAACCGCCAGACTATATATGCGCTTATTTTATATTGTTATTTAGTACAAAGATTTACTGCGACAAGGTGACAAAAAGGAGTTCAATATCGGGCTTTGCAACCACAGATTAGATTACAAATGGCAATAGGAAATATTGCCAACATTAAATAAAACGGAACTTTAAAATATACTAGACTGTAAGGACAAAGCGTGTTAAGAACGAAATTAAAAACGCAGAGCGGAGATTTACGAATACATATGTATATGCGTTCACCATTGAATGTTATTATGCTGCAAAGGACACGTAGGCACAACTGAAGGTAGAGCAAGCAAAAATGCCTACCCAACTTCATCATTAGTATACCGCGATATGCAGAGGTGAAAAGGACATATGCCAGAAATTATACTACATATATCAACGCTCATAATACACACAGTGGTTGAGCGACTAAAAAAAACAATAATATTAAACTTCAGACTTTCTAATTATTTATTAAAAATTTAATTTACGTCAGCAAAGTGTTCTGAAGATCATCCCACACATAATATACATACAGTTTTAATAAAACTAATAAAGTTTGAGTGTTGCGCGTGAGAATTCTGAGCTAAAGAAAAAACTGTTTATTTAAAAATATATAAAACAAATAAGCGTAACAAATAACTGGCATTCAGAAGACTACTATAGGTGCAGCAAATAATACGAATGTTAGCTTATTTTCCCTATAAGAAAAATATGTATTTATTATAGTTTGAAACCAAAGTTAACAGTCTCATCGAAAATCGTGCACAAATTCTCGCATAGAGTTAAAAAAGGAGCTACAAGTAAAACGATTCCTTACAACATCCACTAAAGAGAAGACAGCAACAACATTTCAAGATGCGGTTATTTCCGGTGCGTTTATCGAACATTACAAAAATGCTCGATATATACTCGCAGTTCAATCCATCACCTTTGTCTATAAAACAATTTATGGACTTCGGTAAGTTTATTTATATTTTTACAACAATTTTGGCATAACAAATTACGAAATTTCAGGTATATTCAGTTAGTTAATATAATATTTTTGGTTTTGTTTTTAAATGGGGGCTTATTCAACATTTTTTGCATTATTAATATGATTTTTAATGCTTAAAATCAATGTACAATAAATTGGCCTGTCACTTTGAAGTCACGTTTACAATCCTAGAGCAATAAAATTATATTACTGTAAAGGCATTTATATTTTGTATTCTTTTCCGTTTAATTGAATTGTTTTGACAAAATTTGCTGATAACTCTTGTTGATCTTCAACATTATCGCTATGGCGAATAAAGGAAAAAAAGATCATGTGCATACATACTTATGTATGTACTTATATTCGTCTAAGTTTATTTGGACATATCTCAATAATATTTTTTTTATCAAATTTTCGAAATTTTGATTGTTGACAACGATTATATTTTTTTAGAGCATAACAACTACACATATACAGTTCCTATAGCCTTACACCTCCCATTACCGGACAAAATTTCATAAACACAATGGTTTCATTAATATTTCCCTACAAAACCAATTCTGATAACTGGACATGAGTACGCCTTAATGATCGGACCCGGTCACAATTTTGGCAGTATTTTGACATCGAATACAATACACACATCCATGGTTGTCTTTCCTAAAAACGAATAAGTTTGCAAAATGTACAATTCAGTTTATTCGAATTTGTGACCCTAACAATACATTTTAAACGCAAATTTTTGCCACGTCTCCATACATGTGGACAATTCCTATAGGCGGACAAAAACACTGCCACGTTGGGTGTCCAGTTACTAAGAATTTCACTATATATGTGTGTACATTCATTAATTCTTCAGTAATTTTATTAGACAATATGAGTACTCAGAGATACTTAATTAGAAAAGTTTTAACACTTTAAATAACAGACAAAATTATCATAAACTCTCTAACCAATTTGACTTCTTATATTACTTTGTATCACACTGTTCTGAGCTTTCTAAATGTTCTCTTCTTTTAGTATAGTATGTGTGTATGTAAATGATTTGTTACAAATATAAAAAAATTAAAAATAAAAAATTATATATGTATATATATGTATGTACATATGTAAGCCACAAGCTAAATTTGTTTGTTTTGTGAGAGTGTTTACCATGTTTACCTAAATAAAGTCGCTAACTTGTTTTGGTCACTTTTACCTTCTAATTACTACAACAAAATACATTTTATTATTTATCCACATTTTTTTTTGAATTTTCGCAAGTTTTTGTTTTGGTTGATCGTTTGACATATCTTTGTACATTCACACATCCATACATATGTATACTATCATTTGATGTGTATGTATGGGTCTAGATATGCGCCATTGTATAGTTTATTACGTCGCACAGTTTCTCAAGTTTATTAACCATCTTTTATTTTCAGCTCTCACAGCGTTTAGTGTAAAAATTAATACTCTTTAGAAATTAAGCGGACAGATCGTCATATAATTTTATAAAATCTATAACTTGGAAAAGTATGTGTTAAGGGGGGAGAGGGGGGGGGGGGGGGGTAAGGTTTTAAAGTCACAAACAAAAGGATAAGAAAAGTCTTGCGGTATTCTTATTGAATTTTCAATTATTCTTAACATTTTTTTTGATGACTCATGCCCAGCTCTTGACCGAAGCTACGGCTGCTACTATGCCGGTCTCTTTCGACCAATTCAGCGATTTTATCGCAATTTTCGACGACAGGCCTTCCGGAGCGAGGTGCATCCTCGACCACCTCTACACCAGAACGGAAACGTTGAAACCATCGTTGTGCGGTGGAAATGGAAACTGTATCGGGTCCATAAACTGCACAAATTTTATTGGCGGCTTGAGACACTTTTGCCTTTATCGTAGTAGTACTGTAAAATATGCCGTATTTTCTCTTTATTTTGCTCCATATTTGCGACGCTATAATTCACGAACGACTTAAAAGAAACGACAAATCAATAGCGCGTGAAATGAGCTTTCCAAAAAGGTATAGCTTGACCCGATGCGACGAATAAAACTAGAACTCCGCGCTCTCAGCGCCAACTAGTGAAAATATCGCAAGACTCTTTTGACAATATTAATGATTAATGACATATTATTGTACATCTTTTGAAATATATTAAAAAAAATTGTCAATGAAAAATATTAATAAATAAGCCTCTGACGGTGAATATCCAGAAGCGCCTTGAAAAAAAGTGGATCATTATAACTCGTTACCGGATTATCTGAAACAAAAAATTGATGTCATGTACAGCTATGGACAGAGATTTAGCGCACTTGCATTCATAATTAGAAATGTCGATATTTTCATGAATTTGTTATTAGTAGATCAATACTGCTTCTGTCGCCTCTTTAAATGTGGAAAATAAATTTTATCATTTTCCTTCAAATACCGTTAATTTTTTTTTTTTTTTGTTAAATTTCGTCATAAATTCGTTGGACAAGGATTTAGCGCACTTATAGTGTTCGGTCATTAGTTGTGTTTGGACCAACAAATAATTAATCTTAGTTGTAAACTTGTATTTAATAGGTTTAGTAATATTACAAATTTTAATAAATGGCTAGAGGGAAATACTGTTCGATTGAAAAAATAAAAATTGCTTGGGACCTTTACAAAAACAGTACAAATCAAGTAAAAATTGCTCAAATAGTAAAATGTTCAAGAAAAATTGTGTACAATGCCATCAAAAAGAAAGCGAAGAAGAGAAAGTTAGAAAGTGTAAAGCTGGTTCTTTCAAATCCTCACGCGCGATTATCGTCGAAGTCAATGCAGAATTGGACTTAAACGTGTCAAGTAGACTAGTACAAAGACATTTAAATGAAAATAATTTGTATGGACGTGTGAGCAGAAAAAAAACCGCTATTGTCGAAAAAAAATATTAAAGCGCATTTGTCATTCGCTCATAGCCATACATCAAAAGATTTACATTTTTGGGAATGGATACTTTTTACGGACGAAACTAAAATAAACCGGATTGGTCCTGATGGTAAAACATTTGTACATCGTGAAAAAAACCAAGAAGTCAATCCAAGGTATACCAAAAAGACCGCAAAGCATGGGGGAGGAAATTTTAAAGTATGTGGGTCGTTTTCATGGCGTGGAGTTGGACCCCTAGTAAAGATAGAAGGGAATATGGATAAATTTGCATACCTTAATATACTGAGGAATACAATGGAGCCATATTTCTATGATATTGTGCCTGTAAACTGGATCTTGCACGACAACGATCCCAAGCATACAGCAAATGTGGTTAAAAACTGGCTTGCGCTCGATTGGCCAGCGCAAAGTCCTGATCTAATCCCGATCGAGAACTTGTGGAATGATGTCAAAGAAAAAGTTGGGCAAAGAAAATTTAAAAATTGCGACGAGCTTTGGGCAGGAGTACAGAAAGCGTGGAACTCTATTCCTTAGGGCAGATGCCAAAGGTTAATGTGAAGCGGTGATAACGAATAACGGTCATTCCACTAAGTATTAACCAAGTTCGATATAATATCAGAGAAATTTCACGCCACGTGTTAATAATTTTTATTTTTCTTTGCTGATCTTTTAAAGTGCGCTAAATACTTGTCCAAGCCAATTTTGACTTAATAATGTAAACTGAACAAAACGTTGTATTTTTTTTTATAGAAAACTAAGAAATTTTGGACTACTTTCGTTTTTAGTGAGGTAATAAATAGTTTTTTTTACATTATAACGATTCTACTTTCTTTAAATATAACATTATTAAGTATCATATTTCACATTAAGATAGTGCGCTAAATCTCTGTCCATAGCTGTATTTCTCGAGGTAATCAGAAAGAGTTTTTTTCTATTTTTTGCAGCACTTGGAAGTAAAAAGGGCGGTTTTAGCTCAAAAAATCTCCGTTAATTTGTTAATAAAAAATAGAAAAAAAATGAAAAAAAAACTCCATTTGATTTATGTGAAAAAGTAATGTTCAAATTTTCAAAAGGAAAGGACCATTTTTTTTTCAGTTCTAATGTTCACGACCTTCAAAAATAACGTTAATAAAGTCAGGTATCACGGCCGGTCGTTTAAAACGCTATAACTCCGTTAGTTTGACAATAATTGACATTTGTACATAATATGCTCAACATATTGGTCGTTTGGAAAAATTTAAAAATAAAATGTAAACCATAAATAACCCTTTTTAAAAATAGAAATATATATATATAGTTCATTAAAAATTGATTATAACAAAAAGTATCGCATCAAATTATAAAACCATCAAATGTTTAAGTGTATAAGAACTCAAACTATAGGTTTTATCTTTTCAGTATATTGCCAAAATGCTAAAAGATGGTACTGGGTTCAGTTTTCGTCCAATTTTAAAACATTCCTTAATTTTTATTAAGATTACTTACACAAGTCACCTGGAAGTGCGAAAATCTTTTTATTAGGTATATGGGGGCTAAGAAAGTATTGGCCCGATTTAACCCAAACACAAGTATAGTATATTATCTAGAAAGGAGTATCTATGAATTACAATCATGTACCTCACTCATATTTTCGGTAAAAAATGTACTATAGGTACTGTGGTCCACATATTCGGTACCTAGGAGCTTCAACAGTTTTGCTCTTAATTGGATAATTTCTGGTTAGAAGATGACATATTTATCTCTTATATATGTATATTAATTGCTTGTTGACTTGTACACCGAAAAGTGAAAAATATAATAAAATTTAGAATTGTGAGAAGTAGGCGTGGATGTAGTCCAATTTCATCCTTTTTCGCACTATGATATAGTCAGATTTTTTTATATTTTATTTGGAAGAAATCGGTAGAGCGGGAAACGAGATATATGATTTCACTTAAAAGTGGGCGGTGTCTTATTGTCTCACTTTGACCCGGGTCCTATAAATCTATCAGATGTCCCTTGCTACAGCTATCCCCTGTGCCAAATAACAATGCTATATATATTAATTAAGTGTTTAGTTATGGTCTTTTATCGGTTTTCGTTTGAAGACGT